GAATATGTTCACCTATTAATATTATTATAATATTCCTGTTGTGACTCTCATCGTAACGATTATAATGTTAGGTATTATAAAAAAACTGATTGTCACCATTGTCGCTGTGACGGTGTCTCATATTTCATATTATTACTTGATGACATATCATTTTTGGCTTTTACATTTTACACGCATTGACAATTTTTTTCACAGTGGGTTAGGTTACCTACCTTTGTTGCAGTTTTATTGCTATCATTAAATTAATTACACTTTTGATGGATACAAAATAAATACTACCGCTATTGGATATTATTATACAGATAGGTACTGTTATTTCGTATATTTAAATTCATAATCAATAATTATAATGCTGTTTTATTGTCAATTACGATTTTATTGACCCGTTGACATTAATTATATTGTTATAATTATTTTTATTTTAAACATGAGATATTGAAATTTAGACATTAAAATGAATACATTGTCTATACGTAAATTGATACCGGAAACTTAAGTGTGCCTAACATGCACAATGTCACTACCTAGGCATTGTAGTTTTCAGTAACACTATATTGGTTTATTTCGTGAATAATAATTATAATTATTATAGTGACTAATGATTGCTAATGTAAATTCTTTAACGTGAACCAACACAGGGAGTGTCATTACTGGGTGGCTTCTTCCATCAACCGTTTCATGTAATTAAAATAATATAGGCCATATTCTTATTGTGCCTCTATTGGTACAGATTGTATATTACTTGTAAAAATAAAAAATAAAACTTGAACCAACACCGCTCGTCTACATATTTATAATTATATTACAAAATTATAATTTTAAATAATAGATAACTTAAATTGATCTATAATATACACAACGTTATATTTTTTTAATAAATTAATTCAATAATTGCATACAAAAACATAATTAACAAATGTTTACGACTAGATTTTTTTAAATCTATTCAAACTATTAAAAATACAAAAACGCTACACCACGCAAATACAATATTATAAAAAACCAATAATAGTATGGCAATACCGTTATAAGCATAATATTATTGTACATAAAATAAATGTCTAATATGGAGTTGGTTTGAGAAAATTCAGCTTTTCACTGGATTCATACACATTCGTTTATACGACTATTACGCTCTTAATACATTTTTGTATACTACATTATTTGCATAATGTAAAACATTCAGAAAATAAAACGAAAATCGATGTCACCGATATTATATTATACGATTCGTTGGTGGAAGTGCTAATATGGGACAGAAAACGCAGTGAGCGATTTGTGAGGTTTTTGAAATTACACTTTCCCGCCATTCAATTATTATAATATTAATATTATTACAGTTGCAGGTCTGCGTGTATATTTCACTAATTATTATAAGTTATTACAGATCACAAGGAAAACTTCGCATACAAAGGTGTACAAGTTACATTCTTCGTTCTAATAGGCAGGTACATAGATAAAAATTAATGATCGAGAAAATATGTGTGTAGCATATATTTGCATATATTTAAGATGTTAATGTTAATTTAATTTACCTTTGAGAGTTCATATTTAAACAAGTGTTTTTTTAATGTATTCCTAACATATTTTTTATTTGTATAACTACCTATAGTGTTCAGACATTCACATTCCCGAGAATAAAAGTTTTCCCAGTTGAATAAACTCTGCCGAGAAGGATACAATTTGAGTTCCCCCAAATCGCTTGAGTTAGAAATAGTCAAATAGATTTTAAAATAGTTTTTATTGCAATAGTTAATATGTGTCAAAATTTCGGGTGATCATAATCATATTATAGTTAATAATTGTAATCTGTATAAATATTAAATTGTTCTGTGTAATGTGTATAATATTAGTAATATCATTAGTAGACTATGCCAAAGGGATACGGGACTTTTGCCGCGGGCCGCTGATCATACAAATAATAATTAGAGGAACCAGAACTGAAGAACCAAATATGTTAAATAATAATTAATATTGATGTTGAAGAAATTATTGACATTGTTAAAAATTAAAGTGATTATTATTAGATAAAAAACTATATACAAACTATGTATTTTTTTTTTAATTTAATATTATTTTCTGTTATTATCTAAGTGTAAATATGAGTAATTTTGTACTACCTAGTACCTAATTACTAACTCGAGGGCAACACGTTCTAAATAATTTCAAAATCATTTTTTATACCCTAAAAAATTTACTTAATATAGGTATTCAGAACAAAACTTATTCTCACTGGTAAATTAGTTTTCCAGGCCGAATTTTTTCATAGCCCGTTACTGGATAATATTATAAGAAGTAGGAGGATAATATAATAAAATGTATTGTGTACCAATACCTCCTCGTCCTCCTCAACCCATTCCCTATAAAAATTGGAGAAATAATATGTCGTGGGGGGCTGGGCATTATTTTAGTTCAGCTGCACTGCTGCAGCAAGGAAGTTCTAATTATGTGTAATAAGCTTTAATGTTCACAGTTATTTTAGAATCAAAACGCGTAACTTGTTTAAAAATTAAAACATCGTAAATATTATTGTGAGACAACACATATAGATATAATGTACTTAAGTTTGTAATAGGTCAAATACTAGGTAATTAAAGCTACTATGGTAACTGCATAATTGTCCTATGTTGTGCGTTTGTAAGACAGAGACAACACATACGAGTGTCGGAGTGTGTTACACAATAACAATAGTCAATAATCAAATCATAATTTTCTTTTTATTGCAATGATTACCTATGTTATGTTGTTATATATCACGCGATGACAGTCGTCATAATAATAATAATAATAATAATAAAAATAATAATAATTTAATATTATTTATAAAAATAATTATGCAACGTGGCCCACGATATCGAAAACAATAATGAATCTATAATTATTATTCGCAAGAAAAAAAAACTGCGCCGAAAATAATCACACAGAAAGTGACGTTGCTACAACACTATCGTCTGCAGATGAATTACGTCGCCGCCTCCTTGAAGACAATAATATTATTATGCCATAACACACTGTAATAATTAATGACTAATGTCATGGAAAAAATGATCTAAAAACCACCACGAACGTGATCGAGATAAAAATAAAATCTTACTTGACTTGTCAAGTTTTTTTCATTTTATTTTCTATATAATGTACTAGGTAGTGTAGTTGAAAGCCAAGAAAAATTTACTCGATGAGGACGTACAATATATTTGCGTTTAGCTGCAGAATATATATTTTTGTGTTATTAGTTTTAATAGGACAGTAACTTGACCCATCATCAAATTAATTTAAAGGTAAAAATATTATCTATATTAATTATTAGGTTTTTTCCGTTGATTTAATTTTAAGACATTTTATGATGAGTATTTTTAAATTTTAATAATTTACATACTTATAAAGTTAGAACTGGGTAGGTTAGGTCATGATATCGTGAAAAACCGAAGAGAAACATAAATCATATTCTTATCTTTAAAATTTGATATAGGTAAATTTACAGTTACAATGTTACAACCAAAAATGATTCGGTATGCATATATTTTGCTTTGTTGTATACACGTTTAAAGCATATAGGTATAATATACGCGGGCATTGTGGTCTCAATATAGTATGATTAGATATGTACTGATACTTGAGGGGCTTGTTTAGGCTTTAGCAATCCAATTTTCGCCACTGTTCTACTACTCCTTTATATTATGTAATTTTTCATCGAATGGATATATTGTAAAGTATAAACAATATGTTAATAATAAATTAAACATTTCATGTTGATAATATTTAGCAGCGTGACACTGAACTACAATATATTCATATTCTAGTACAGCAGTTCTTAACCTTTTGTAGATCACCTAACCTAACCTAAACCCTGATGAAAGATTTCTAGAAATCGCGGACCCCCTTACCAAATTTTTTTCGAATACCTTTTTTTTTTACAAAACAACTCATGTTATCTTAATCAAAATTATAATAATTATTTTATATAACAAATTACATAAGTAGACTTAACAAAACATACACATTTATAATTATTTTATTGCAATCAATTTTTATAAAAATGTAATATAAAACCATAGTTGAATACGATCGATCAACTGCACTTAGTGGCAATAAATATAAGACTGCCGAGACTACAGTGCTGTACGCATGTACATTTCGTATGAACAAGAAAAACTGATTATACTTAATAATTAATAATACAATTATTTGAAATAGAATCTACATATTATGTATGGAAAAAGAATAATAATAATCCAACAATATTGTAATAACGCATTCATGTCACTTATTGACGTACCTACGTTATTTGTTAAGGCTGCCACAGACCCCCGAAATGAGTATCGAGGACCCCCAGGGGGCCGAGAACCGCAGGTTAAGAACCGCTGGTCTAGTACAAAATGTAATTAAAACGCAATAAACCGTAATAAATAATATTGAATTTAGTTTTAACGGGTTGCACAAATAATTATAGTAAATACTCATATATTTTTTAAATTCCAATTTTTATAAAGGTGTATTGTGAAATTCGAGATATTTTGCCTTTGATACATATAATATAATATATATATATATTATAAAATGTATATTGTACGTATATACCTACGTCCTACATCAATATATTTACCTAGGTATATAATAATATATATTTTAATTTAGAATATTATTCTATACTACTGTGGACAAAATAATATATATCTACTATCACACATTTATAAAATTGCAAACATCCGTGATACACAGCAGCTGCAATCCGTCGAACGATAATGATATATAAGTTGTGCATAATATTACATAAGTATAAAGTAGGTAGAAACGGACACGTTTGTGTAAGTCTGTCCAGAAAAAAAAACTCTAACGCTAGCGTTTTGAATGCTGTGTTTTTAAATCGCGTAACCGTAGCTTTGAACTAAATTGACTGTTTACTGCTTCTGTTACTGTTTATTTTTATTGTTTTACGATTTATGTCTATTTATGTTATATTATAGCTGCAAGCCTGCAAACGATGTAAACGGATCACTCACCGATTAAGACGAATAGTTCCGCGACTGGCACCATCAGTGGCATATCGGTGATAAATCCAAACGTCGAAGATTGTGGAGCTCTGGTGCAGCGTGTAGCCGGTTGTCGCTAAACCGCAAACCCAATCAACTGTACGTGTGGCTGAAAAAGCGAAACGGTTCGATTGTAATTTTCCCATTAAAATGCCAACTCAGTCGAGAGTCACATTGCGTATAGGTCAGCATAAAATTATTAGTAAAAAAATTGTCTTTTGCCCGGACAAAGCAGAAAAATACTCCCGATTTGGTCATAATTGTGTGAGAGGGAGGGGGATGAAATTAGAGTGCATAAATTATGAATTTGCATAAAAAATTGTTTGTGCCTATGTATTACAAGCACTCGTCAAATAAATTTATACGCGGCACGCATGTCCGGCATATGTGATGTGTGCAATGCACTTGCCTATACTTAAACATATCATTAGGTACGTATTTAAATTATATAGGTAGAACACGGAGGAATACGAAATATGTAATATTTTAGTTGTGACAGTCGCTGGCCGCAGTTTAGTTTACTATATAATCTACATAATAGGTAATAATACCATTCTATGTGTACAATTATTTACAACATTAAAATAAAACACTAGTAAGTTTATGCACTATTTTATCTTTATTTTGTATTGAAACTATAGCCTCTATATTATGAAGAAATATTATTATCTTTGTTATTATATTTTAATATTAATATCCCAACGGCCAGCATAGGAATTCGGTTTTTTTGTATTATTTCCATAAATTATGATACTATAGTATTGTATTACCTAATATTTAATTAATACGCTTGTGTGATATGTGCCAGCTATAAGATAAAAAGCTAACGGGTGGGGGTGAATTGACACTCTCATACGGTCATACCCCCCGCAATTACACCACTATTCCCAAGAAAAGTGTCGCAAGCATTAATTACACGTGCATGTTTTCCAACACCTGATCATTTTCCCGATTTAGATAAAAAAATTTTTTTGTTCCTCGAGTACAGAGAGCACAAGACCGCACTTGGGGGGAATAAATTATTTCGATTTCATAACCGAAAAATGTGTATAACGCGTTTCCATTCGAAGCCTCTATAGACTCATATCATAATCGTAACAACTGCACCCTCTGATCTGCGCGTCAAGCGGTGACGTCTAATCTACAATATCAGTAATTAGAGTAATAATAAAATGAGAGTAACAATAATACACCAACCTATAATGTTATCGTGTTGTATAATAATAATATTATTATATTATAGCTGGTCGTGCCGGTATTTCCGGGTTCGACGTACCCGACGCCCGTCTGGCTCGTGTAACAAGTCCGGCGCTGAGGAAGACGACCACTATAAATATTGTCCAGACGCCGACGGCTGTGATGCTGAGCACGATAAACGGAGAGGACCAAACGGAAAAAAAAATAAGAAAAACAATATTATTATCGTTATTAGTTTGAACGCTATCGACGCCGACGCGGAAACGACTGACCGCGTGATGGCGATGCAAGTCGTTATATATTGTTGGTACCTATAATATTATTACGCTCGACAATCGAAAATAACGTACTTGCCGGCGACGAGACGTGACGACCGACGCGGATCAGTCGATGAGCGCGCGAAGAGATAAGCGGCGGGAGAGCGCGTGCGACGATGGTGATAACAATATTATTGTTGTTGCTGCTGCTGCTGCTGTTGTTACGACGTGATGCCTACTGCAGCTGCTGATTGTTGCACCGTCTACGGATGTGTGCCCGTGGTCGCGCTGGTAACCGAACCGGACTGAATGACGGTCGTCTAGAGCCCGTCCGCGGTTCCTGCAAAGATCGCGATCTGTCAGTGCGTGTGCGTGGCGGCGTGGTGCGTACCGCGAGCGTGAGTACGTACGATTGAATGACGATGAATAGATAGTACTATAGTAGCGCTACGTGGAATGGGAACGCGACTACGTGTAGTTTGTAGTAGTATTAGTGACTGGTGGCCGCCGCCACTACCACCACCTAAAAAACATTGTAAAATAACAATATCGTTTTGCCGCCGACGACGACAGCGGTTGCAACTGGGCCAAGACGTGCTAAGCAGTGCGTGCGTGTGTGCACCGTTGCAATATTCCGCCGCCGAGTGCAACAGCAACAGCTGCCGACGCCGTCCCCGCCAGATGCTGAGATGCCCCTCATCGATAGCATGTAACGGAAGTCCTTGCTTTCAGATCGGAAGCGTTGATTTTTCGTCGTTATCTACTCATCTCTGTTTCCGTCACACACTGCCGTCTCACCTAGCAGACTTTTGGTTCCGAGGGTGCACACTAAAAATTAGGGGCCACAATAATTTTGAAAACAATTATAGATACAGACAAATGTTTCAAAGATATCAAATGCACTAAAAATATTTATTTTATTATTCATTTTAATAAATAGTACATAACAATATATAGATATACAATCTTATAATGATAATCGACGTTTAAAAGGAACAACATTTTTAACAACAATAATTTCATTAACTTAATATACACTTAATTAATAATTAGGGCCCTTGTCGGTTTTGGTGAAGGGGGTGCTATGTTTATGAGCATTTTAAAATATACTAATTACAATTATTATGTATTTACAATTTTAAAATTATCAAAACACGCCTTTAAAATTAAAATACAAAAATTGACTATAACTAATATTCTTACTACTACATTTCATAATTTACTGCTAAAATATTTAAACCGAAAGTTAAATTATTTTAGTTAGATTATTTACAGTGTACAGTTTTCTATGTCACTCGTTTGTCTAAGATGAGGGGACAATACGCATGCGGGTTCAGTCTTCTTAAAAATAAAATGTGAGGCGCTTTACACTGTAGTAGTCGTCAATCTTTATATTTATAAATTATAATATTAAATACTGCACACGGAGCGGTTTGGCCGCCCGCGGTTTCGGATTATGATCCGCGGTGATTAGCAACCGTTTCCGCAGCTCGCTCACACACATTGGCGGTTTAAAATTTTCTTCATTCGACCAGTTTGTTTTAGGCGCCAATCACTTTTAGTAAAAATTTGAATCATAGATAACATTGAACATAGATTTTTTGCCAAAATAGGGCAAATAGTGTTGACAACCAAAACAACCCCAGGCTTCTCCATTAGACTTTTGTACTCACAAAACTTACTCGTTTCCTCAGAGCCTCGAGGCTTTAATGTCGAGTGTAAACAGAATGGCCAAACGCAGACTATTTGCTGTAACAAATTCAAAAGATTTGTTTTCGCCGTTTTCGGAATCCTCATCCCCACATCACTTCGAACTTGTATCATTGAAATCATGATTTCAAAATATATTTTAAATATCGTTAAAAATGGTTTATAAAATCAAAAGCAATATAAAAATTAAAATGTTTATAATGATGTTAAAGATGTAATTTAAATTAAAAATTGAAATCGATGATATATATCAAAATAATAAGTAATAACCATTTTTAATTTTCATATTGAGGTACAAATCGAATAAATATTAAAAAAAATTCAACGAAAAGGTTCATCAACAGGTCAATAATAATCTTTTTTATACGTAGGTATTTTCGTTTTTTTTTATCGTTTCACAACTACGCGTGAGTATATGGAACGTGCAAATTACGATCCTACACGTATTATGGCTTGTAGATAACAATCAAAATTAAAATCGGAAAAATATCAAAGTGATATTTTAGATAGAAAAAATAACAATTAATTTAAAAATCTAATTACAAATCTGAGAAAAATATTGTTCAAACAATGTAAAATTCATAAAATTATAAAATCAATGTATTTTTGTTTTAACTACCTACTTTATTAAAATCTCAAAAAAATTAATATCAATAAGCGAAATTGTAATTATTAAAATGAAAAATTACATTTCGATTTCATGGTTGAAATATTATAATAAATTATATTATATACTTAACACATCTATACATTTCTAAACTGCTTAGGTACCTATGACGTGTTAGATATGCTGATGTGAAGAGTCAGCAAAATATCAACCCCGATATGATTCAAATCCAATACAGGTATACTATCTCTACAAATACGTTGGTTTTTTTACGACATGTCAATTTTAAAGCTAACTATGAGTTTTCTTAAATGTTGTAATATTTTATACTTACCCAATACTCATAATTTAATTGAAAATTGAAGTATCGTAAAAAACCAATGAACAAACACAGATAATATTAAAGCTAACAACACAAAATTGGTTTTGCTAAACGCAAATTCGGAATAATTTTATACGTTTGTAAGACGGAGACAAGAGGCGTCATGAGGTATAATGGCATTTTTTTAACGTTTCAATAAACGTACGAAAATCGGCACGTGTGGACCGATAATATACAATATCGATAAATCACATTATATACCTAATACCTATAACATTATTTATTAATTAATTGTTCAAATTATTGTTGTAAAAATTACTACCGGTATTATACCAATAATGTTAATCACCTCATATAACATTAATTAACGATAGATACCTACACTGGCTACACTGTATGATAAAATATATAAATCATCGTATAGTACCTAATTTATGGCATTATAGACCATATTTTATTATGTACCTATTATAATAATATATTATTATGTCCGTGTCGTCCCGTGTTAAAGGCGAAGGTTAATCAAACATAATCATGACTATGTGTAGTGTAATAGTGTGTAATATGTGGTGGCGCCCGCATGTAAGTACCCGTTTAATGTTGTATACGTATATCCGAATCTAGGCGGTAAGGGATATGAATTTCACGGTTGAGTATAAGGGGTAGTTGGAGATTTTGAAATTAGACCATACGACACATTTTCGTGTATTGTGTATTATATTATACAATGGCAGAGGTACCTACCTATAAAATAAGGGTAGTAATGGGTGGGTATTATGCAGGGGGGGAATATTCTTGAATATTACAGTTGGCCGAACCCTTATAATAGTAATATAAAATAATTTTTTTATTGAATGTTATAAAATATTATAATACATTATTATTAATAGTTTATTAACTATCATAACAACCACTGTGCTCGCGTCATTCTTAGAGGTACCTAAGTAGGTACCATTAAATAATATACACTTACGTCTAAATAGCATCATTGGCAGTGTTAAAAAATGCAAGGCTCGGCAAGTTAACTATTTTTTTTTAACTCGTTAAGTAAGTAAATATAGAAAAATGTAAGTTAAGTTTAAAGTTCAAAGTTACCTTTATATTTTTCACTAGTAAAAATTACTTTTTTTCATATAAAATAAATAGTTATACCTACCTGTTTTTCAAGTTAACAAATAACATAATAATTCAATAAAATAATATTTGTATAAAAATAAATTAGTGTAGGTACTTTTATACATAATCAATGGCAAAATCCAACAAAATAAGTAAATTATTTTTATCCATTTGTTTAGGTACGTCGAAATGGTCTTAAACTTACAACTATACTAAATATTATAATACCTAACCAAATTCATTATTAGAATATAATATTAATTAGTTAAACATCTCACAGCTCCACAGAAAGAAATATTAAAACAAAATTGTGAAAAATAATTGTTGACGACAAGTGACAAGTCGGCAGACTATTAATTGCTTATGAATTTATGTCCACTATTAAAACCTATAAGTCGTTACGTAGTACTTACATAGTCTTAGCAAGAAAAATTCAAACTTTGTTATCTGCTTATTACGGCCCGAACATATAGGGTGGCTTATAATAAAAATCATTCCGCGTGCTTACAGTGTTGTTAAATGGCTTGTTCATTTATTTTTATTTTTATTTTTTATTTATAAGTTTTTATTCAATCTGTTACAAAAAATGACATTAAGAACAATTGATGAGTTAAAATAAAGGTTAAAATAAATAAAAATAAAAATAAAAAGGCAGATTAGACTGAATGTAGAGGCCTCCCAGCGGAGGTACTACGAAAATGTATTTATTGTTACACTTCATTTATTTGATTAAGTAAATATAGTAAACACGATGAACTACTCGCGCTACTACGGATTTGCATTATTTCCACCTACGAGCCAAGTTATCGATGCAATACCATAAATAAATACAAACAAAATAATAAGTAATAATATTATTAATGATTAGGTAGTGACTATATTGAGCAGTGTTTGGAAAGAACTCGCTCTATTTTATGTGAACGAGCCATGCACGCATTCAATCGAAAGACATTTAAACACGTTCGATTATTAGGTACATGTACACGAACGACTTAATACGTTCATTTAACGTTCTTTTGTCGAAAAGTTATCACATATTCTTATCATTCCAGAACACGCCTACACTTTCGAATATACCAAAATACACACTTCAAAAATAACTACACAACTGAAAACTGAAAATGCATTCAACATTTTAAACAATGAGCATGGAAAATCATACGCTACACTGCCTTAACGTGTTAATTTTGAATTAACAATGTATATGTTTTTTTTTTAAATTACATTTTTTTTAATCCCACAATTTGTTCAAATATGTTCAAATAAATAAGTGATTGTGATGTATGAGAAAAAAAATAAAAGTTATGGCTTACAGAGTGGAGAAAGCTCTAACGCGCTTTGCGGAGGTACTTCGACATTAAGAGGAATTAAAAAATTAATTTTGTATAACAATGAATACTGTTTAACACCTTTTCATATTCAAAATGAAAATATAAATTCAACAAAACAAAATAAATAACAACAATACAAAAAAACGCACTCATTTTTCCTGTTTTTAATATATGCTTGAATTATTGAAGCGCATAAAATAACTAAACATAAAAAAAATCGAAGGTGCCCTCTGTATAATTTGATTGAAAAAAAAACGGGTTACTCCCAAAATACATAGGTAGGTTTTAAATCGTTGAAATTGAAATCCAAATGAACACAAAAAAACATACACACACACACACACACACACACACACACACACACACGTACAAAACAAACATTTAACCCCAAAATATAATAATCAAACTCATAAATTTAATATTAAATTGTGATTGAACAGGTAGGTACGTGTGCATAGCTAGTAGATAGGTACGATACCTTACGTGTACGTATGCTTACAATGCAAGATATGTTTGCGTTAGATATGACACAATAATTTTATTATTTAGCTATTTTATAATTTTTTAATTACGAAAAAATTTCCAAAATATGTTCGTGATTTTGAAGAATTTTGTTTTGACATTTTGACGGTCATAAAAAAATTATTGTGCACAACTTTTTTTTTCATTATTACACAAATAAAATCTTACGAAGAACCTTGTATTAAACTTTCAAGTTTTTTTTCACCAAGCAAAATATAATTTATTGACAAAAATTGAAAAAAACTTATTAAAAAATATCTAAAATTGCTTATATACTAAAAGAGTCAAAATATTTTGATCTTCTCATTTATATAAATGCCCATATAAAAATTTTGTAAAAATGTAACTAGCTACGGTTATTAGTGTTTATGTTACTTTATACCTTGTCGAAAACTGGTACTGAGTAAGAATTTCCGTTTTTCCTCATTTTTTTAGTTTTGTTTTCCGACTAATAATGGTTGGGAATTTTTTACTTTTGACCAAGTACCAACTTGATATTCACTTACCTGCGATTTTATAGGCTGAAGAAGAAAATCAAAGCATTTTTACTGCCTCGAAAGTTGATGAAAGACAAAAATAAACACACGCGTCTTTGTAAAATCAATATATTCATCACTCCACTTAGACTCCAAAATTTTTTTTTATGACTTAATTTAATATTTTAATTTAAACGAGAACTTAACCACTCAATAACTTTGAAAATTATATTTAACTTAAACCAGATTTTTTTTTGATTTGTCTTGAAGAGGGTATATAATTATAATGTTTTTATATCTTCTACAAATTAATATAATGTACCATGTATTATTATTCTGTTTTATTAGACATTATAATAATAATAATCTAACTAATTTCATTTCTAATGTGTTATTATGTTTAAATTAATTTTTCTATATATATTAGACATAAGTTATGTGACTATGTGAGTTTGGTAAATTATAATTTGATTTATGAGAATGATCATAAGTCATAGAACTTTGATGAACATCGCATTGAAAAATGACTGTTCCATGTCTAAATCTGTTACAGTGTTACAACGGAAAAGAAATCAAAAGTCTAAACAACTTTTGTTTACATTTTTCAACACTTTTCTGGAGTTTGTTCCTAACGTCATTATAAGTATATAAGTATATAATACGTACGTGACTTGATTTCTGTTTGACAGACAGATTATATTAGAAATGTTTCGACCAACCTCTCTGCTGTTGAAAATAGTTCCATAGTT